CGCCCCCCCCTCTCTCTCTCTTCCCCTTTCCTCTCCTCTTCTTCTGTTAGTAGCTGATCAGGTACTTCCTGCACAGTAAAAAACACCTTCCTTTTTCTCCTTCTCCCTTTGATTCTCCTCCTTCTCCTCTTCTCCCCCCCCATCTCCCCCTTCTTTTTTTTTTTTTCGCTCTTTCCTCCTGTTTCTTTGTTAGTAGCTGGCAAATTATAGCCACGCCAATTAATTAGAGGATGATGCAGGACATACTCAGGCCGTCCCCTTTTTCAAACTGAATCTGGCATAAGTACAGTCAGATGCATGTACGAAAATCCTATTATGGGTACACTCTCCCTCGTCTAGTCGTTTCGGCAGCAGAGTGGGCACGGACAATCATTAAGGGTGTCATTTTTTTTCGCTGCGGAATGTGGCAAAGAAGTTGAAAGAACACTCAGAAAAAAACGCAAACAGTTTAACAGTGTGAATGTGGCAAAGAAGTTGAAAGAACACTCAGAAAAAAATGCAAACAGTTTAACAGTGTGAATATTCACTGACTCCCACTTCAATCATAATTATCATGGTTAAATGGACAAGCGGCTAAATTACCATTTGCCCCTGACATCATCCGAGGCCTGTGGCACTATACAGTACTATACACCCTTTGGGGGGTGGGGGGGGCGGGGGCACAGCTGTGCATGAAATCTTGAGTGCAGTGTGCACATATTTTGCTGATCTTTCTTCTTTTCCTTTTTCTTTGCGATCTGTTGTTTTTTGCACCAGTACTTTGACAAAAATTCTAAAAAGAGCATGAACATAGATGAAGAGCTGATCTGTGCTTTAGCTGTTAGGCAACAATATTAAAAAGGAAGTAGGCATGGTTTCCCAGCTTTGGTCTGTTAAGTACCACTCTTCTGAATGTATCTGACGGATTCTGACCGTTATTACGGCCGGAACCTGGATGTATCTGACTGCAGCTGCGTCCAGAAATAAGTAAAAAAAAGTCCTGGTGTGAGTTCGTGTGACTATATGCCCTAACAAGTGCTTTTTCTGCCACTTGTCTCTTTCTTTCGGCCATTGGCATGGCTGCTGCCTTTCTTTTCTTTTGTCAATTTGCCAATTTGGACCATTTCTCGATTTATGTGTTGTCCTTACCCCTCTTATCCCCATGCAGGGACCATATGCTACTCTTCTCTGTATCATTAACGGATGTCCCGAAGGACGGCATCGCTACTTTCAAAAAAAAAAAAAAAAAGAGTTAGCTAGGCACTTGTTCGATGACCAAGCATGGGCTGGTTCCATGGCATGATATCGGTCATGGGCCCAGCAGTCTGGGGCCCAAAAAAAGGGTCCACTAATCCAGGCCCAACAAGGGTCAGTAATCCAGGCCCCAGCAACAGCTTGTTCCACGGCATGATAACGGCCTAGGGGCCAACAGGACCCAGTTCATTGACCTGACCACCGAGAAGCACGGGCTTGTTCGATGGCATGATAGCGGTCTAGTGCCCGGTAGTCTGGGGGCCCAACAAGGCTCAGTAATCAGGGCTCAGCAAAGGCTTTTTCCATGGCGTGGTAGAGGTCTAGGGCCCCGTAACCCAGGGCCCAACAAGACCCGGTTCATTGACCTGACCACCGAGAAGCATGGGCTTGTTCCGTGGCATGATAGCAGTCTAGGGCCCGGAGTCTGGGCCCAAAAAGGCCCACTAATCCAGGCCCAGCAATGGCTTTTCCATGGCATGGTAGTGGCCTAGGGCCCAACAAGACCCAGTTCATTGACCTGACCACCGAGAAGCATGGGCTTGTTCCATTCCATGGCATGATAACGGTCTCAGGCCCAGTAGTCTGGGAGCCCATAAAGGCCCCCCACGAATCCAGGCCCCAACAAGGCTCAGTAATCCAGGGCCCAGCAAGGGCTTTTCCATGGCGTCGTAGCGGTCTAGGCCCCAGTAACCCAGGGCCTAACAAGACCCTGTAATCCAAGGCCCAACCAGACCCAGTAATCCAGGTCCTAACAAGGCCCAGTAATCCAGGGCCCAGGGCCCACCAAGGGCATGTCCAATGGCACAGGGGTGGTCTAGGGCCCCGTAATCTAGCGCTTGTATTCATTCAGTTATGTCGTTTTGGTTGAGTTCTTGGACCTTCTTTCTAACCACAAGGGATCAATCCATTGCGCAATCGTGGTCTAGCGCCCAGTAGTCAAGGCCCAAGGAGGTCCAATATTTCAGGGCACAGCAAGGGGGCTTGCCCCATGGTGCGATTGTGCTATAGTGTTGAGTAACCCAGGCGCAGTAATCCTCCTCTGTGTGCCCCCACAAATGGTTAACAGGTACGCCCACTTTTCACCCCTAGGGTAACCTTCACATCCATGAAAAGTTAACCTTCTGTCCACTGTGCTGTGAGTGAGGCCCAAGAAGGCCTACTGTAGTAATCCTCCTCCTCTGTGCGGCCACTGTGCTGTGAGTGAGGCCCAAGAAGGCCTACTGTAGTAATCCTCCTCCTCTGTGCGCCCACTGTGCTGTGAGCGAGGCCTCCAAGATTTGTGCACTGTGAACGAGGAGAGGACGTGATGCAGTTCTCCCTCTAGATGGAATAGTGCACTCTACAGTCTTCCCCCGAATACAACGTACGGTCGTTATACCTGTCTTTGAGGCATCTTTCAGTCTGGATACAGCTATAATGACCGTACGTTGTATTCGGGGGAAGATGGTGGGGAAGTTGTGACAGAAAAACTGTGGCTGTCGATCTTCCCAAGGATTCAGGTATCCCCACTTTTCACCCCTAGGGTAACCTTCACATCCATGAAAAGTTAACCTTCTGTCCACTGTGAACGAGGAGAGGACGTGATGCAGTTCTGCCTCTAGATGGAATAGTGCACTCTACAGTCTTCCCCCGAATACAACGTGTCACAACCTCCCCACTTCTTCCCCCGAATACAACGTATGGTCATTATAGCTGTATCCAGACTGAAAGATGCCTCAAAGACAGGTATAACGACCGTACGTTGTATTCGGGGGAAGACTGTAGAGTGCACTATTCCATCTAGAGGCAGAACTGCATCACGTCCTCTCCTCGGTCACAGAGAGATGGTTAACGGGAGGCCAAATATTTGGCGTTTTTCGCCGGCAAATTCGGCGCGAAATTTGTCGAAAATTTCAAACCACGTGTGACAGTATAGGCTTGGGTTGAAGAGATATGGGGAAGATGGCCCTTAGAGGATACTCACACTAGCACAGTCTCGAATTTATCTCACCTTAATCACACTGTAATTGGATCTATCTTACCGCAATTATGTCCATAATAATAAGTAAAAAGGTCCTAGTTTGAGTATGCCTTTGCTGAGCATCATCGCGGGATTTGTTGGGATTTGCACTCACGGAATGTGGTTCGACAAAATATAGGCTTGACTGCTTCGGTGGTTTAAAGTTTAAAACACCGCTACCTTTCACAGGCAAACTCAAAACACGAATTTGCCGCAAACTGCGTTCTTTGAGTGAACAGTCCTACGGGAGCGAAATGGCTGGCACCCCCAGCCAAAAAAAAAGAGCAGAAAAGCACTGCACTGGCCCTCCAGCAAAGCTTGGCACAAAGGTCTTTTCTGCCTCGGTAAAAAGAGGCGCGGAGGTAGTGGTGGTTTAAATGAGATAGTGATCTGTGACTGGAAGATCATGGGATTTGCTGGGATTTGAATTCCACCGTCATCGGCGTCATGGGATTTGTTTGGATCTGGACTCAGCTGGGCGCGCGGATGACACTTCTGTTCAACCCCATGACAGGCTGAGTCCAGATCCCAACAAGTCTGGGGCCAGGTGCAGGTAAAAAAAAAAAAGCATGCTGGGGTCCGTAGAGCTGTTTGCGGAGCGAAAGCTCACAAAAAAGTTGGAAATGCGAACTTTTGACGATGAACGGCTAGCATGGGGGGTTTTGACCCTCACCTGGCCCACATACCCACACTAGGATTTTCTCCGATGAATCTGACAGCAATTGCAGCCAGATTCTGGGTAAAAGGTACATGTGCGTTTCCCCCTCCCCCCCCACATGGCCTGGCCCCTTAGGGCATACTGACACTAGGACTTTCTGGAATGTATCTGATGGCAATAGCAGCCAGATTCTGGCCAACTTTGAGAGTTTGGGATGTATCTGGCTGCAATCGCAGCCAGATTCTGGCCAAAAGGCAGCCAGATTCTGGCCAAAAGTACGAGTGCGAATATGCCCTTCGAGAGTTTGGTTTTGCTTGCAAGGCTTTGTCAGCTCGTACAGACATCTGTGCACTTAGGATTTGTTTTCTGGATCTTCTCTGCTGCCGTCTGCAAGACACTCTAGGACTTTTCCGGACGTATCTGGCTGCAATTACTGGCAGGTTCAGTGGAAAATTTCCTTGAGCGAGTTTGCCAGTCATTATTGGATTCAATCGCACCATGATTTCGGAAACCTAACAGCCATCGATTCGACCTACTCATCGTACAGTTCCGGACAATTCGACATTTGCCACTTGTCTCAGAGCGCTCTCAGGCCATGTTCACACTAGGACGTTTTTGACTGAATTCTGGCAGTAACTGCGGTCAGATGCATGCAGGTATGGCTGACATTTTTTGAAGGCAGAGCAGTTTGTTTCCCTTTTTGTTTTTGTTTTAAATATGTCACGATCCTGGCCTGGGTAGCTGGAAGTTATTTCAACGCGGGTACCGCGGTGAATCTTTCAACTCGCGTTGAAAACGCGAGGAAACTGCATTGAACCCCCCGTTTATCGCAGTTTACCTTGACCCGGGAATGCTTTTTTTTTCGCAGGAAAATCATCATGAGCAAAAAGTAAAATAAAACATATAGGATTGTAGATTTTTTCAAGACTTCCCAAAAAAAAAAAAAAAAAAAAAAAAAAAAAAGATGTTTTCAAGCTGCAACCCCATATTTTTTATTTTATCTTTTGAACAGTCATTATACTCATCTGGGTGGAATAGGGGACGTTGTGGTGATATTTTATAACACACACACACACACACACACACACACACACACACACACACACATACACACACGCACACACAACACACACACACACACACAGACACACATGCGGACACACAACCAGGGCGGCGGGGGTTTGCAGGGGATGTTTGGGGGGTTGGTTTT